AAAAAATCAATTAATTGATTGAGGCAGAGGTTGCAGTGAGCCTAGATCACACCACTGCACTCCATTCTAGGCGACAGATCAAAACTCTGTCTCAAAAAAAAAAAAGAAAAAGATCTTAACTGTTTCTGCTTTTAATTGTACTAGTTATTTTTCTGTCTAATCTGAATCTAGGTGAGTTTTTTTGTGTTATATAGAAGGTAAAAGTCATGTATTTGTTTTTATATAGGGTTACTATTATAGAAAAAAGTAAAAATTTTACTGCTACTCTTTTTAACTTTTTGAATTTGTTAATCAGGTTGTTGCCATTTTGATCACCATCCTTAGTAGTCATTGTTAAAGTATCTTTATTTAGAAAATTTAGAATCAATGAGCTTCAAAAGGAGATGATCAATCCTTCCTGACCTTTTCAGCTTAGGTTCAGAGTTATCCACTAATGCTGTTGAATTCTAGGGATATAAGTTTGTGAACAAAATACGTAAAATTACTACACTCATTCTATTATGTTACCTTTCTGTGTAAATAGTGACATCTTGTTTTTTCAGTGGTCATACTTCATTCTTCTAAACAGCTATCAACATAGAAACAAAATCTTTTGAGGTGTCTCAAAATAGATATACTTTACATTGGAAAGGCCTTTCCCAGTCTACTTATTCTATACTTTATCAAAGTCTAAAAAGTTTTAGCCTTGTGTGTATCTTTCTGAAGTTTTCTTTTTAAAAGTTATTTTATTTCTCTAAGTATCCTCCGTAACAGCCAAGTTAAATCTTTTAGATTGAAGCATCCAGTTTGAAAGACAGCAGATAAACTGACAGCCTGAGGGTGACAGACTGAAAGAGGAGATAGGAAAAAATAAAAGCGAGTAAAAAAGGAAAACATCCAGCATTTGGACATATATTCTTTTCAGTCAATCCTGAAGACATTAACTCAGTGATCAAGAAAAATATTTTTCAGTCATACTAATTAGAAATACACGGCCGGGCGCGGTGGCTCAAGCCTGTAATCCCAGCACTTTGGGAGGCCGAGGCGGGTGAATCACGAGGTCAAGAGATCGAGACCATCCTGGTCAACATGGTGAAACCCCGTCTCTACTAAAAGTGCAAAAAATTAGCTGGGCATGGTGGTGCGTGCCTGTAATCCCAGCTACTCAGGAGGCTGAGGCAGGAGAATTGCCTGAGCCCAGGAGGCGGAGGTTGCGGTGAGCCGAGATCGCGCCATTGCACTCCAGCCTGGGCAACAAGAGCGAAACTCCGTCTCAAAAAAAAAAAAAAAAAAAAAAATAGAAATACAGACATGAGGCTGGGCACGGTGACTCACACTTGTAATTCCAGCACCTTGGGAGGCCAAGGTGGGTAGGTCATCAGGAGTTTGAGACCAGCCTAGCCAATATGGTGAAACCCCACCTCTACTAAAAATACAAAAATTATCTGGGTGTAGTGGTGGGCACCTGTAGTCCCAGTTACTGGGGAGGTTGAGGCAGTAGAATCGCTTAACCCGGGAGGCGGGAGTTGCAGTGAGCTGAGATTGCCCCACTGTACTGCAGCCTGGGCGACAGAGTAAGACCATGTTTGAAAAAAAAAAAAAAAGAAAGAAAGAAGTACAGACATGAAAATACATTGGAAATATTTACTTTGAGTTTTGATAAATGTCTAATATTGTATCACCTTTGTATATTAAATTTGTCTCATCGTAGAAAACTATTTTGTTCTGGTTGTTACCATGAAGAAAAAAGCACCAATTGCTGATACTGTACAGCTGAAGATAGCAAGTGTCAATAGGCTAGACTACCTTAATTCTAGGGCTGAGGATTTTATGTACATATATGTATTTAAAATTGACACATATGTTTTTATATTTAAGACTTCATTTTTTTTTGGGGGGAGCAGTTTTAGACGGCAAAATTGAGAGGAAGGGACAGAAATAGCTCATGTAGCCCTTGCCCCCACCAGTAGCTTTATTTTGGCTTTTTAAAAAGATGTAATTTGCATAGCATAAAATTCGCCCTTTTATACAGTTCAGTGTCAATATATTTGCAAATCCTGATACTTTTTAAAAAAAAAAAAAGTTATTTTGTATATTTAAGATATATAATATGATGTTATTGGATACCTATAGATGGTAAAAAGGTTGCTACAAATTAACATATCCATTATCTTACATACTTTCTTTTGTTTCTGTGGCAAGAGCAGCTACAGTTTACTCACTTAGCATGAATACCATATACAGTACAATTTTATTGCCTGTTGTCCTCAAGTGGTACCTTAGATCTCTAGACTTGTTCATCTTACATATCTGCTACTTTGTATCCTCTGACCCATCTCTCTCCATTTCCTCCTACCCTACCCCTATTAACCACTGTTTTTAAATTATTTATCTCTGTGAGAGATCATACTTACAAGTGATGTCATAAACTATTTTTCTTTCTGTCTGGCTTATCACATAGCACAGTGTCCTCCAGGCTCATTGATGTTGTGGTAAATGGCAGGATCTCCTTTTTAAAGACTGAATAATACTCCATCATAGATATGTACCACAATTTCTTTTTTTTTTTTTTTTTTTTTTTTTTGAGACGGAGTTTCGCTCTTGTTACCCAGGCTGGAGTGCAATGGCGCGATCTCAGCTCACCGCAACCTCCGCCTCTTGGGTTCAGGCAATTCTCCTGCCTCAGCCTCCTGAGTAGCTGGGATTACAGGCACATGCCACCATGCCCAGCTGATTTTTTGTATTTTTAGTAGAGACGGGGTTTCACCATGTCGACCAGGATGGTCTCTATCTCTCGACCTCGTGATCTACCCGCCTTGGCCTCCCAAAGTGCTGGGATTACAGGCTTGAGCCACCGTGCCCGGCTGTACCACAATTTCTTTATCCAGTGAATACTTAGGTTGTTTGCTTATCTGGCTATTTCGAATAATGCTGCAGGGAACATGGGAGTAAACATACCTTTACCAGGTGGTGACTTCATTTCCTTTGGCTATATGCCAAGAGGGATTGCTAGCCTGTATGGTAGTTCTACTTTTAATTTGTTTATAAACTTCCATGCTGTTTTCCACAGTGACTGTACTAGTCTACATCTGCACCAGCAGTATACAAGAATTCCCTTTTCCAACACCCTTGTTAACCTTTGTTATTTTTTTTTACTTTTTTATAATAGCCATTTTAACAGGTGTGAATTGGTACCTCATAGTGGTTCTGATTTGCATTTCTCTGATGATTAAAGCCTAATAAACTTTTAAGGAAACATTTTTTTCTTAAGTATTTTTTTCTTAGCTGTTTGTAAGTCTTTACTTTTGCCCATGTGATGACTACTTCCTATTTTCCTCTTGCATTCTTTTTTTTTTTTTTTTTTTTTTTTTTTTTGAGACGGCATCTTGTTCTGTCACCAGGATGGAGTGTAGTGGTGCAGTCTTGGCTCACTGCAACCTCCCGCTCCTGGGTTCAAGCAATTCCCCTGCCTCAGCCTCCTGAGTAGCTGGGACTACAAGCGCAGGCCACCATACCCGGCTAGTTTTTTGTATTTAGTAGACAGGGTTTCACGATGTTGGCCAGGATGGTCTGCATCTCCTGACCCCATGATCCACCTGCCTTGGCCTCCCAAAGTGCTGGAATTACAGGCATGAACCACCACATCTGGCCCTCTTGCATTCTTTAAAATTTTTGTTCTCTTTGATTCTGGTCTAATGTCATAGCTCTTTTGGGAAGGCATTCCTGATTCCTCACACATTAGTTGCCTTCTCTGGTCTGGGCTCCCACAGTCCTTTGTTTATTCCATTATTATGTTGCTTATCACATTTATATTGTAATTATCTCTTTTTTTGTTGTTGAAGACAGAGTTTGGTTCTGTTGCCCAGGCTGGAGTGCAGTGGCACAGTCTGGGCTTACTCCAACGTCTGCCTCCCAGGTTCAAGTGATTCTCGTGTCTCAGCCTCCCAAGTAGCTGGGATTACAAGTGTGCACCAACACTCCCAGCTCATTTTTGTATTTTTAGTAGAGACTGAGTTTCACCTTGTTGGCCAAGCTGATCTCAAACTCCTGGCCTCAAGTGATCCTCCTGCCTCAGCCTCCCAAAGTGCTGATATTACAGGCATGAGCCACCGAGCCCAGACATGTATCTCTTTGTCTTCCCTTTCAGACCGTTTATCTGAAACAAGATCTTGTTTCAGTCTCTGTCCTAGGACTGTTCTTGTTTTTCACTATCCTCAGGATCTAGAACATGCCTGGTATGGAAGTCTTTTTGGTACATAGTTTTTGAATGATTATAGCCACAGGTAGTTACTGCTGTCCTTAAGCCGTAAGCATAAACCAAGAGCTTGGTATACTATATTGAATGGTGAATATTAAAATAATTTGCTTTTTGTAAGCTGGGAATCATACCATTTTAGTGTTAGAAGGTACCTGAAGTATTATCTAGTCCAGTCTTTCCCCATTTAACACACACACACACAAACACACACACATATATTTATATATACTCTCACATGTTCACATGAAGCAAATTGAAATCCATAAAGGTTGGGTGACAGTAGTGAAGTTAGGAGTAAAAATTCATGTTTCCTCATTTTTTTCCTGTGTCATTCTGTTTTCTCTGACACCTTATAATCTATTCTGAGGATTTACAGTGTAAATTCATTTATTTCCTAAAGTTTGGGGGGGAAAGAACTCTGAAAATGTTAGTTTAATTTGTATTGTTATCCTTTTAACTATAAGTAAGACACCATTGCCAGCCAGAATACAGGTTAAGTATACAAATCTGAAAATCTAAAATCCTAAATGCTCTAAATATAAAACTTTTTGAGCATTAATGTGAAGCTCAAAGGGAATGCTCACTAGAACATTTCAGGTACCAGATTTTCAGATTTGGGATGCTGAACTAATAAGTATTTTAAAAATCTGAAATCCAAAACACTTCTTGTCCCACATGTTTTAGATAAGGGACACTCAACTTGTACTGGAAAAGAAATTTTAAATTTAATGTTTAAAAAGTGATAATATATTTTGTTTTATAGACCTCCGTGAGTGAAAGCCTTCAGAGGGAAGCTGCTAAGAAGCAGGCCATGAAACAGGTAAGGTAGAAGACTAGGATAAGTGCACTGAGTAAAGCATTTTGACTCATTTTTAAGTATCAGTTTTGGTATCTAAGTGCTGAGACTAAAACAGTAGGTTTAAGGAAAAACACAATGAAGAATGAGCTTCTCATTGCTGTGCTATAGAGTAAACTAGTTCTACTTATAGATTAGTCTAATAATGGTGTTTGACTTGTTACTTATTAAATTGTTGCTAGTGAGCTTACTTGGAAAAAAAAAAAACCTTTTCACAACCAAAGTGATTTCACAAACTTAGAATTATTTGAAATTCATCTACCAAGAAAGAGGAATATCAGTTTCTTGTTTTTTGGTTTTTTTTTTTTTTTTTTTTTGAGACAAAGACTGGCTCTGTTACCCAGGCTGGAGTGCAGTGGTGCACTCTTGGCTCACTACAATCTCTGCCTCTCTGGTTCAAACAATTCTCCTGTCTCAGCCTCCCTAGTAACTGGGACTGCAGGCACACACCACCATACCCCACTAATTTTTTGCATTTTTAGTAGAGATGGGTTTTCTCCATATTAGCCAGGCTGGTCTCGAACTCCTGACTTCAGGTGATCTGCCCACCTAGGCCTCCCAAAGGGCTGGGATTACAGGCATGAGCCACTGCACCTGGCCTGATAATTTTTTTTTTTTTTTTTTTTTTTTTTTGGAGACAGAGTTTCGCTCTTGTTACCCAGGCTGGAGTGCAATGGCGTGATCTCGGCTCACCGCAACCTCCGCCTCCTGGGTTCAGGCAATTCTCCTGCTTCAGCCTCTTGAGTAGCTGGGATTACAGGCACACGCCACCATGCCCAGCTAATTTTTTATATTTTTAGTAGAGATGGGGTTTCACCATGTTGACCAGGATGGTCTCAATCTCTTGACCTCGTGATCCACCCGCCTCGGCCTCCCAAAGTGCTGGGATTACAGGCTTGAGCCACCACGCCGGCCCTGGCCTGATAATTTTAATAGACGTGCTACTACCTTAGTGTTTCCAAGTACTTTTTACATGCATTTATCTTTTACAGTTCACATAAATTTGCCCATAGTCCTAATTAAGAAATCTGAAACTCAAAAAGGCTAAAGTGCTCCTTAAGATAATACTACTAATTATAGAAGTAGGCCTGAAGGTTTACTAATTTTTCTGCTTCTCCACTAGTGTATCTTAGATTTTCTGCTGTAGAATGTACTGAAATTTAACAATAACAAGGTGCTTTTCTTTTTCATTTTAAATTCTTTATCCTTCACATTAGCTTTACCATTTTTGGTCCTATTTCCTTTGTGTCTTAACTGGAAACCTGCATAAAGATAAGTTTATTAAGCACTTTCTATGTGCCAGGCATTATGACAATTACGTTTTAAGAATGATTTGTAATTCTTACAATTATTCTATGAGATATATGCTTTTATAATCCTTATTTTATAGTTAAGGAAATGAAGGCAAGAATTTATGTGGCTTTCATGAGATCACATAGTTAATAAATGCTAGGGTTGTGTTCAAAACTAGACAGTGAAATCTCAGAGTCTAAGCTTTTAACCACTGTGTTTTACTCCTTCCCTGAGGAGTTGTCACAGAAGTATATAGTCATTTTAAGATAATGTCATAGTTTCATAGTGAAATACAGTGTGTAACTCAGCAGCCTCAGAATTTAATATACACACAAAACATGAAAAAACAGTGATTATTTAATGTAAATACTGGAGTATTTGAATCAGAATTTTGGAAAGACCATCAAGTTCAGCTTCCTCACTGTGTATATGGGAGACTTAGTTCTGGAGAGTTAGGTGACTTTTCCAAGATAATACAGGTATCTTGTTTTCTAGGGTTATTTTAACATTTTTGTGCTGCCTTTTCTTCTTCTTTTAATGCAAGAATCCCAAATCTACTTTTATTCTTAACTGTCTTGTTCAAAGCCACTTTATCTGTTTGTAAGACTTTTTCATAGTTTGCTTGGAAATTGGAAATGCTGCTACAATTCTTAACACCTTTCACCTGCCTTCTGCTGCTTTTTTCTTGCACCTATATTTCATACTCTTCCCTTTGTTCCCCACTTGGTTGATTCAGCTCGTCAAATACCTTCATCCATACTAATTGAAACTATTCATTTTACTATGAAGAATACTAGCTTGATTGGTTTTACTAAATCTTAGAGAAAGTGCTCTTTGAAATGGGGTACTTTAAACTACTATTTTCTTCTTTTATCTGGACCTCAAGTGTACAGAAGTAATGATGGCAACATTATTGTCATATTCCCTGTTTCATTGGGAAAATTTTTAGCATGTCATCAGTAAATATAACATTTGCTATAGGTCTCTTGTTGCTAATCTAAAGAAATTCTTTTCTTAGTTTGAGGGTTTTGTTTGTTTCAATGGTGAGCTATATACAAAAAGGATATTACTTCATGACCCATGTTGGTTTTATACCAGTAATGTAAGGTCAGCGTAACTTGAGAAAATCAATCATTGTAACTTTGTAGAAGTGGTATAAACCTAACAGGAGCATAAAATGTTATCCTTCTTATATATTGTTGCATATGACTTACTAAAGTTTTATTAGGAGTTTTTAAGTATTGAGGATTTTTACATCATAAGTGAGATTCGACAGAATAGGGAAGTTTTCCTTTTCTTTCACTGTAATTATCCAGATTGAAAAAGTCTGATAATACCAAGATTTGGCTAGCCTTACACAATGAGCTAATATAATACTATATACATGTTGCTTTTTCTAGTTCATTTTCCATCCTGACAGATTCGTGTTTTCTTCATTCTATTTTCTTTGCGTTTATTTTGTTATTTTTCTAACTTTTGGAGATGGGTGCACAGCTCTCTGTTTTCTATTCTTTCTCTTTTCTTATATATACATTTAAGGCTGTATGTTTCCCTCTAAGTACTTCTGTAGCTGGATCTTACAGCTTTTGATAGGCAGTATTTTCATTGTTTCATGCAAAGTATTTTCTGATTTGCATTATGATTACTTGCTTGACCCATGTATTATTAATTTCTGAACATATGGAGGTTTTTGATTACCTTTTTGTTACTCATTCCTAACATGATTACTTTGATTTTTGGGGGGGGGTGTTTTGTTTTGTTTTTGAGATAGAATCTCACTCCGTCACCTAGGCTGGAATACAGCATGATCTCGGCTCACTGCGACCTCTGCTTCCTGAGTTCAAGCGATTCTTCTGCCTCAGCCTCCTGATAGCTGTGTTTACAGGAGTACACCACCATGCCCAGCTAATTTTAATATTTTTAATCGAGATAGGGTTTCACTGTGTTGGCCAGGCTGGTCTCAAACTTTTTTTTTTTTTTGAGACGGAGTTTCGCTCTTGTTACCCAGGCTGGAGTGCAATGGCGTGATCTTGGCTCACCGCAACCTCCACCTCCCGGGTTCAGGCAATTCTCCTGCCTCAGCCTCCTGAGTAGCTGGGATTACAGGCACGCGCCACCATGCCCAGCTAACTTTTTGTATTTTTAGTAGAGGCGGGGTTTCACCATGTTGACCAGGGTGGTCTCGATCTCTTGACCTCGTGATCCACCCGCCTCGGCCTCCCAAAGTGCTGGGATTACAGGCTTGAGCCACCGCACCCGGCCTGGTCTCAAACTTCTGACCTCAGGTGATCTGCCTGCCTCAGCCTCCCAAAGTGCTGGAATTACAGATGTGAGCCACCACACTTGGCCCCTAACATGGTTACTTTCGGTACCAAAACATTGGGCTGTATTGTTTCATGCCTTTTAAGATGTAGAGGTTTACTTTATGGTCCAGTTTATAGTCAATTTTTATAAATATTTCCTCTGTGTTTGAAAATGTTCTGTATTGATATAAAAATTAGCCCAGCCTGGTGGTGTGCACCTGTAGTCACAGCTTAAACAGTTTAAAACAGCCCTCAGTCTCCCTTTTCCCTTGCTTTTTGTTATTGTAGTGGTGATTATTTCTTGGATTCCATGTTTCCCTCTTTCTGTTATCCAGGCAGGTTTTGGGGAGGGAGCAGAAGTGCCAATTCATAATATCTGGGCAGGATAATCTTTCTTTTTCTAAAGGTCGAAAAGTGAAAATAATGCATTTCTTAATATTTTAAATATTCTGGAAAAAAAAGTTTTTCAATTAGTATGTGCATCGTTCAGAGTTTAAATGTTGGTATGTAAAAACCCAAGTCTATCAGATAGATTCTTTTGAATAATTTTAGATCACTTAAAAATTAGGATCCCTCTTGGGTTCTATATTAGACAGTGTAACAATTCAGAAAGAAGTTAAAGTGTGTAGACTGTACCTCAGGAATTTACAAACTGGGGCAAGAGGCTAAGATTTGTGAAACAATTAGAAAGTAAAAACATCTATGCTTGGCATGGTGGCTCAGGCATGTAATCCCAGCATTTTGGAAGGCTGAGGTGGGAGGATCATTTGAGCCCAGAAGTTCAAGACCAGCCTGAGCAACATGGTGAAACTCTGTCTCTACAAAACGTATAAAAATTAGCCAGGCATGGTGGCACACGCCTGTAGGCCCGGCTACTTGGGCAGCTGAAATGGGAGGATCGCTTGAAGCCTGGGAGGCAGAGGATGCAGTGAGCCAAGATCATGTCACGCACTCCAGCCTGGCGACAGAACGAGACTCCAACTGTTTAAAACAAAACAAAACAAAATTCTAGTGTATTAATTAAGAGTTAAATATTGCAGAATAGAATGTTCCTCAGAGTTTAGAAGAAAGATCATTGGGGGTTAGAGGCCTCAGAAGTGGGCTCATATGAGAAGCAGGGCTGGCCCTGAAACACTGGATAAGATTTTGATAGCTTGAAAGAGGAGGAAAAAACATCATTTAAGATAGGAGGAACATACATGATAAAGGCAGAGAGTTTATGTCTGACAACTCTAAAAATGATAATGAAAGTTTAATATATAATACAGGCCTTTTAAAACCAGGGTTAGGTGTGTCTGTGGTACCTTGGACCTTTTGACCTTTTGATGTTGATATTTATATACAAACAAATAGGTGATAATAATAGTTGACGTTTATTGAATACTTAGTCTCTATCAGGGTCTAAGTATTGTAAGTTTAATCATTTAATTATAACAGCTTAGAATATAAATATATCATTATTCTTTCTCTTCTAGATGAGGAAAATTAAGGCATAAAAAGATTATAAACAAACTTGCCCAGAGTAGTTAGTAAGTGTAGAGCCAGGATTCACACCCAGCTGCTTGGCTCCATAATTTACATTTATATTTCCTATCTAAAATATTATTGTAATTTTTATGATATATTTTCAATTTATGAACCATTCTCAAAAAACATAGACTTTGTGGTATCTATTGGCTGGCTCATATTTTTGAAACATATTTAATTTTTTTTTTTAAAGACCAAACTGGAAATCCAGAAGGCCCTTGCAGAAGATTCTACTGTATATGAATATGACAGTATTTATGATGAAATGCAGAAAAAAAAGGTGGAAAATAATCCCAGATTGCTTTTGGGGAAAGACCGAAAGGTTTGTAAGCTGAAATAACAAACTTTGTTTGACCTTGACCTACATTTTATGTCTTAATCTTATTTTAACATGAGAATGATCTGAGAAAAAGCTTTTAGGTATGTAAAGTGTGAAGAGTCCCTAGTTCCAGATATTATATATTTGATCTTAGAACTCAAGAAGCACTACATGTATTATCCTAATAAGCCAAGTGAATTATCTAACAGTTTTGTTTTTTGCTTTGAAACCTTTGCAAATAGTTTTTTGAAAATTTTTTTTTAGAAATTCTGATGTACCAAATTTGTACTGCTCCTGCCCTGTGTATGTTTATTTGTGTTTTATTATCCTCTCATTTTTTATTTCTTCCTAACTGGTGACTGAATCATCTGCCCACACCTATCATGATTTTATTTTCAGTGAGAAAAAAATTTGGGAGTGGGAAAAATTGAAATAAGTTCAGATTTTCTATCACCTCTTGTTCTTTCACAAGCATAGGCTGATTTTTTTTTTTTTTTTTTTTTTTTTTTTTTAGTGCAATGGCGTGATCTCGGCTCACCGCAACCTCCGCCTCCTGGGTTCAGGCAATTCTCCTGCCTCAGCCTCCTGAGTAGCTGGGATTACAGGCATGTGCCACTATACCCAGCTATTTTTTTTTTTTTTTTTTTTTTGTATTTTTTAGTACAGACGGGGTTTCACCATGTTGACCAGGATGGTCTCGATCTCGACCTCGTGATCCACCCGCCTCAGCCTCCCAAAGTGCTGGGATTACAGGCTTGAGCTACCGCGCCCAGCACATAGGCTGATTTTTAAGGATATTTGCATGGCCGGGCGCGGTGGCTCAAGCCTGTAATCCCAGCACTTTGGGAGGTCGAGGTGGGTGGATCACAAGGTCGAGAGATGGAGACCAACCTGCTCAACATGGTGAAACCCCGTCTCTACTAAAAATACAAAAAATTGGCTGGGCATGGTGGCGTGTGCCTGTAATCCCAGCTACTCAGGAGGCTGAGGCAGGAGAATTGCCTGAACCCAGGAGGCGGAGGTGGCGGTGAGCCGAGATCGCGCCATTGCACTCCAGCCTGGGTAACGAGCGAAACTCCGTCTCAAAAAAAAAAAGGATATTTGCATCTGACATATCTGTCAGTAGAGTGATGATACAAAATTATATTAGATCTATTTTAAATCATATTTCTATTAAATGTGAAAAACTAATAGGAACTTTTCTGATTTTTTTAAATTAAGAGAATACCAGAAAAAAGAATAAGAAAAAATTAATATTTCGTTTGATTTTTTTAAGTTAAATTACATTATAAATAATTTCTGCTACACCTAAATTTTTATTGAAAACAATTTCAATATTAATCTTGCTAGTAAGTTCATATTGAATGTAAGGAAGACAATCTTATTTGGGCTGATCATCTCTTTCTTAATGAATTCATTATAAAATTATAACAGTAATAACAATTACTATTTTTTTTACTCTTTTCCTAAATCTTTTTTATTTCCTTAGCCCAAGTATATTCACAACTTGCTAAAAGCAGTTGAGATCAGAAAAAAGGAACAGGAAAAAAGAATGGAGAAGAAAATACAGAGAGAACGAGAAATGGAAAAGGGAGAGTTTGATGATAAAGAGGCATTTGTGACATCTGCATATAAGAAAAAACTACAAGAGAGAGCTGAAGAAGAAGAAAGAGAAAAGAGGGCTGCTGCACTGGAAGGTAAAATGAAAGAGGGGGAAAGGCACAAGGAGACAGTCATGGAATCTCTACCCTGTGGTTAGCTGTTTACTCTGTCACTGAACTTTTGGGTTATAAGTTTGTGATCATAATTTATATATAGGAATCCAAGACTCAAAATATATGGTATTATATAGTAGTATAAAACAGAGAAGGAAGTTTAACTAAAAACACCGTTGAACTCTTCAGTAACTATTATTTCTACTAGACTTTTCCCTTAGTTCTCATTTTGTGGCTTTTGTCTTACAACGTGATTTGAAATGTAAAAACATTATTACAAAGTATGACACCATAACATTTGTCAGAAACAATATAATTTTAAACCCTAGTTATATTTTTCTGGGAGGAGAAAATAATAAGAGTAATACCACTCAAGGATCATGAACAGGACAATTAGAAAAAGAATAACATTAATTGAAGAAAGAATAAAAATGGGATGAATTAAGAATATCTTAATGCATTAGTGCTTTCTACTCATGATTATTTCTCAAGATCTAAGTAGAATATGTATTTAATATGTATTTATAAAATACTTTTTTTTTTTTTTTTTTTTGAGACTGGATCTTTGTCACCCAGGCTGGAGTACAGTGGCTCAGCCATGGCTCACTGTGGCCTTGACCTCCCAGGCTCCAATGATCCTCCCACCTCAGCCTCTTGAGTAGCTGGGACTACAGGAACATACCACCATGCTGGGTTAATTTTTGTATTTTTTGTAGAGATGGGGTCTCACTATGTTGTCAGGACTGGTCTTGAACTCTGGGCTCAAGCAGTCTCCTGCCTCAGCCTCCCAAAGTGCTGGCATTGTAGGTGTGAGCCGCAGTGTTCTACAAATACTTTAAAAAACTCTCAGCTTTTTTTTTCTTTCTTTTTTTTTTGATTTTTTTTTTTTGAGACAGAGTCTTCCTCTGTCGCCCAGGCTGGAGTGTAGTTGTGCGTGGCTCACTGCAACTTCTGCCTCCCAGGTTCAAGTGATTCTAATGTCTCAGCCTCCCAAGTAGGTGGGATTACAGGTGTGTACTACCACCACCTGATAATTTTTATCTTTTTAGTAGAGATGGAGTTTCACCTTGTTGGCTAGGTTGGTCTCCCAACTCCTGACCTCAGGTGATCCACCCACCTCAGCCTCCCAAAATTCTGGGATTATAAGCATGAGCCCCTGTGCCTGGTCTCTTCAGTTTTCAAGTAGAAGAAAACCAAGTCTATAACATTCTCTCTAAACATATACCATGTGTTTAGAGTGCCAGTCAGAAAACTTTCCATAAAGGACCAGATAGTATTTTAGTATTCGTATTTTAAGACTTTATAAATTCATATTTATAAATGCCAGATATTATTTATACTTTAGGGCTTTTTTGGGGAGTCTTGCTGTTGTTGCCCAGGCTAGAGTGTAGTGGTGCTATCTCAGTTCACTGCAACCTCTGCCTCTCAGGTTCAAGCATTCTCCTGCCTCAGCCTCCCTAATAGCTGGGATTACAGGCACCTGCCACCATGCCCAGCTAATTTTTGTATTTTTAGTAGAGACAGGGTTTCACCGTGCTGGCCAGGCTGGTCTTGAACTCCTGACCTCAGGTGATCCGCCTGCCTCGACCTCCCAAAGTGCTGGGATTACAGGCTTGAGCCATGGCACTGGCCAGGGCTTTTTGTATATATGATCTCTGTCACAGTTACTCAGCTGTGCCTTTGTAGTACAAAAGCAGCTTTGGACAATGCATAAACAAATGAACAAGGCTTTGTTTCAATAAAAATTTACTTATAAAAACAGGCAACAGGCCAAATTTGGCCTTCAGGATATAGTTTGCCAATTCCTGATCCAGAGAATAGTTTATACACTGCATGTTATATACTTTCCGTCTATAAAATGAAACTGCACTGTGGCTTGATAAATATATTCTAATTTTTACTTTCTCTCCCTTAGCATGTTTAGATGTAACTAAGCAGAAAGATCTCAGTGGATTTTATAGGCACCTGTTAAATCAAGCAGTTGGTGAAGAGGAAATACCTAAATGCAGCTTTCGTGAAGCCAGGTGAGGAGATGGGGTATTTGAAATATTTTGAAGAAAGATACTGTTAATAATCTGTTTGTGGGGTCATTTTAACCCTCTGAAAGATGGAAGATTACAGCATTGCATATTGTGTTGTCAGCCAGCATTACCTAATTAAATGAATGGCTAGAAATTTGCAGTTTCTTGCTTTGAAAACCTAAAGATTTAGTTTAAGACCATTTTTATTCTGCAGTTCACAGAAATTGTTACATTAAAACACAGTGATTGAGTTTAATATTATTGTAAAACCAAAGACAGACTTTTAATGTATAAAGTTTCTGAATTTTTAAGTGACTTAGGTGTCTTCTTAAGGGAGAGCAAAATCTTCAAGGGAGAGCAAAATAAAACTGTTTTTTTTCTGAGACAGAGATGTCTTACTCTGTTGCCTGGTGGATGGAATGAGTATAGTGATTCAGTCATAGCTTCTTTATCTCATGGGCTCAAGTGATCCTCCCACTTCAGCTTCCCAAGTAGCTGGGTCTACAGACACGTGCCACCATGCCCAGCCAATTTTCTTTTTATTTTGTTGTTGTTGTTGTTGTTGTTGTTTTAATTTTTTTGGTGAGATGGAGCCTCGCTCTGTTGCCCAGGCTGGAGTACAATGGGGCTATTTCACTCACTGCAACCTCTGTGTCCCAGGTTCAAATGATTCTCCTACCTCAGCCTTCTGAGTAACTGGGACTACAGCCGCGTGCCACTATACCCAGCTAATATTTACATTTTTAGTAGAGATGGGGTTTCATCATGTTGGCCAGGCTGATGAATTCCTGACCTCAGGTGATCTGCCCACCTCTGCCTCCCATGATGCTGGGATTACAGACGTGAGCCACGTCGTCCAGCGTCTTTTTGTATTTTTGTTGTAGAGATGGGGTTTCATGTTGCCCAGGCTGGTCCCGATCTCCTGGTTTTGAGTGATCCACTTCAGCCTCCCAAAGTGCTGGGATTACAGGTGTGAGCCCCTACACCTAGCCACCTTTTTTTAAAACTAAAAATACAGGTATTCCTCATGATCCTTAAAATGGTTAGTGCCTCGTACCTTAAAATGATTGCTATCAGAATTAAGAAGAAATTTGGAAAGAATTAGGTATCTACAATATAGATCTTACATGCATATTCAGATAGTATATAAAAAGGAAAGTGGTTTATTTTCATAAATAGGACCCAGTGTTCATAAAATGTAAGACTTTACATATCAAGAGCTAGAACTGCACTGTTCACTATGTAGCCACTAGTCATGTGTAGCTACTTAAATTAGTTTAAAGTAAATAAAATCAAAAATTTTGATCACAGTGGCCACATTTCAAATACTCAGTTACCATATTTGGCTGGTGGTTGCCATACTAGACATCTCAGATATAAACATTACTATTTCTTGAGGTATTTCTATTAGTGCTGGTCTAGAAGGTAAATGATTAGAGGATTTTTGAATGAAGTTATAAGACATTATAGGAATGGTGAGATGATTATGTCATAAGTATGTAGCTGAAGGTTAAAAAGTCTTGTCCTAAGCAAAAAAAAATTTAACAAATATTCTGAGTAGATCTGAGTCTGTGTTGCTAAGGAAGGGAAGAGGTAGGAGAATAGAATTAAGGTGAAGAGAGGAAGTTAAGTTTATGCCCCACTCCCTCCCTACACTGCTAGGTTTTGATTACAAAATTGGTGAGAAGTTTGAACCTAAGAAACTGTATTTGAAGATTCAGGTTTTGAATGGAAACTATAATACATTATGGCTTTGTGTTTGAGTTTCATCTGGAATGTTTATGAGGCTGCCATGAAACTCTGTAATGTTGTTGACGTAGTTGTACTTCTCAGAGTCAAATAATTGAATTCCTAACTGTTAGTGGGTCCTTTAGCCAACATAGTTCTGCCAGTAATTCCTCGAGAACCGAAGTTGTGCCATTAGTGTGATTAGTAAGAATCACTGAATGATTCTTATTTACAGTATGCTAACTGTGTGAGTAGTATAAATAAAGTTAACTGTACTTGCCAGATGAAACAATGTAGGTAATATAATTTTAGTGTTGTTGATTCTAATGGACAAATTAATATATTTCAATTTTGTTATGATAGGTGCCAAGGAGTGTATCAGGATACTAGTGCCTTTTTCATCATGAGAGAGAGTAAATATTTAGGATTATACTTGCCACAATTTTGCTGTGCAAAGATTACCTTCATGTATTTCTACGACAATTTTTATAATTTTTTTTTTAAAAGAGGCCGGGTATGGGCTCACTCCTGTAATCTGAGCACTTTGGGAGGCTGAGGTGGATGGATCACCTGAGGTCAAGAGTTTGAGACCAGCCTGGCCAACATGGCAAAATCCAGTCTCTACTAAAAATATAAAAGTTAGCCAGGTTTGGTGGTGCAGGCCTATAATCCCAGCTACTCGGGAGGTTAAGGTGGGAGAATTACTTGAGCCTGGGAGGCAAAGGTTGCAGTGAACTGAGATTGTGCCGCTGCACTCCAGCGAGTGAGACTCTGTCTCTAAATAAATAAATAAGAAAGGAAACGAAAATCCAAGAGTTACAACTTAACCTTCATGTTGGGAAAGTAGAACTTAGATCCAAAACATATCTTCCTTTTCCCAATTATTCTTTGTCTTAGGCTTACCAAAAAAGTAAAGACCTGTACAGACCCTTGCCTATAGGTTCTAGCAGACAAGAGCTAATTTTTTCTTTTCACTTCTACAAATATTGAAAATATTTGGAATGGTTCGAATTTGAAAATACTAGTTTGCATAGACATCAGCACCTTTTTTGCATTTGTATAATCAGACAGTATATATCACTATAGGTGTATTGATTTAAGTATTGAGAAAAATTATATGAACCCTTTATCTGCTTATTACAACTGATAATGTGGCATTTTTTCTGCCCCTTTTTTTTCCTTAAGATCTGGTATAAAGGAAGAGAAATCAAGGGGTTACTCCGATGAATTAAGTTCGGAAAACAGAATACCACAAGAGAAATACATTCTTCAAGCTGATGTGAAAGTAGAGGAAAACCCAGATGCAGACAGTGACTTTGATGCTAAGAGCAGCGAGGATGATGAAAAAGAAGAAACTACACTGAATTGCAGAAGAAAAAAGGTCACAGAGACCCCTGAGAATGACTCGAAGCACCACAGGAATCAAAACCACTCTCAGTCGCCTAGTGAAGAAAGAGGGCATGGTGCCAGACACCACACAAAAGGATCACAAACATCAAGAGGACATGAGAAAAGAGAAGATCAGCACCAGCAGAAGCAATCCAGAGACGAGGAGAACCATCACACTGACCGTGATTACCGGAAAGAAAGAGATTCTCATAGGCACAGAGATGCCAGTCATAGAGATTCCCATTGGAAGAGGCATGAACAGGAAGATAAACCAAGGATGAGGGACCAAAGAGAAAGAAGTGACAGAGAATGGAAAAGGGAGAAAGACAGGGAGAGATATTCCCAAAGAGAACAAGAAAGAGATAGACAACAAAATGATCAGAACCGACACCGTGAGAAAGGAGAGAAGGAAGAGAAAACCAAAGCTAAGGAAGAACATATGAAAGGAAGGAAGGAAAGATATGAAAATAATGATAAATACGGAGATAGAGAAAAAGGAGAAGTAAGTGTTCAGTCTTCAGAAAGACATCGAGACAGAAAGGAAAGCAGCCCAAATTCTAGGGCAAAGGATAAATTTCTTGACCAAGAAAGATCCAACAAAATGAGAAACACGGCAAAGGACAAAGAAAGAAACCAGGAGAAACTCTCTAATTCTGAACTATCACTGGGAGCAAAACACAGACTCACAGAGGAAAGGCAAGAGAAGGGTAAAGAACAAGAGAGACCACCTGAGGCAGTGAGCAAGTTTGCAAAGCGGAACAATGAAGAAACTGTAATGTCAGCTAGAGACAGGTATTTAGCCAGGCAGATGGCACGGGTTAATGCAAAGACCTATATTGAGAAAGAAGATGATTGATGGCTACCCCGAGAGATGTGAGGAAACACAGAAAACTCTTAATTCCTGGAACCTGCTATGTGAAACCATAAAGGAATGTGTTACCAGTAGTTTGGAGGGCATTTTTAAATTTATTTTCAAAAATTTTAGGTTAAAATCAAAAGTCAATCTAACATCTTGAATGTTTGGATGTTTGGATGTGGATGTTTGGCTGAATTTATATTCAGTATGTACTTGCCATTAAAATTAATTTTGGCCAGACGTGGTAGCTCATGCCTGTAATACCAACATTTTGGGAGGCTGAAGCAGAAGGATCACCTGAGGCCAGGCATTCAAGACCAGCGTGGGCAGGATATTGACGCCTTGTCTTTATTTAAAAAACAAGCCTGAGCTGGGCGCGGTGGCTCACACCTGTAATCCCAGCACTTTGGGAGGCGGAGGCAGGTGGATCACGAGGTCAAGAGATCGAGACCATCCTGGTCAACATGGTGAAACCCCATCTCTACTAAAAATACAAAAAGTTAGCTGGGCATGGTGGCGCGTGCCTGTAATCCCAGCTACTCAGGAGGCTAAGGCAGGAGAATTGCCTGAACCCAGGAGGCAGAGGTTGCAGTGAGCCGAGATCGCACCATTGCACTCCAGCCTGGGTAACGAGCGAAATTCCGTCTCAAAAAAAAAAAAAAAAAAGCCTGGCATGGTGTACCTGCCTGTAGTCCCAGCTGTGTTTGAGAGGCTGAGGCAGGAGGATCACTTGAGCCTAGAATTTGATGTTACAGTGAGCAATGATCATACCACTGCACTCCAACCTGGGTAACAGACCAGGACCCTGTTTCTAAAAAAAAAAATTAATAAATAATTTAACTCTTTTAATAACGTTGACTTTGTTGCAGGAGCTGTTTGTTTTATAAATATTGTATTTCAGATAAAATGTGCATTGGACCAATAGAATATACTTTTATGTTCTGAAATTTGTATTAAAGAGTAAAATGTGAATCATACATCTTTTCTAAGTAGCTTACAGCATAGTTGGCTTAAATGAAAATAATGATATGCTTATACATTTTATTAATGTATTTAAAAGTAATTTCATGTCACAATTCATCTGTTTGCTTTTAGTATAAATTAATTTGTAGTTAGTAAATTGGTTGTGCATGTAAATCACTTTTAGCTAAAGGTGAAAATGTGTAGACATTTAGCCTAAATGAAATAGCTAAAGGTCCTGGTGACCTATTTTGAAACATGTCTTGTTTTATGTATTCTGAAAAAGATAGTGCTGTTCATTACAAGTTCCACTTGTGTATAAAAATAAAACTAGTATCTTTCTCCTGAGTCTTTGATATTCAGGAGATATAATTATGCACTGTAAATATTTATGGGAAAAGGATAAATGCTGTGGAGAAAATAATTCTCTAATAGGTTTTCCCATTAGGAAAGTGCTATTTATATCTCACAGTACTTTTAGAGTTAGCACATTTTCTTATTTTTAGAAGGATAAACTTAGTTTAATAAGATTGCTGACTAGATTAAAACATTGCATATTAAGGGTCAGATTTCGCATTCATAAATCATTTTGTTTTACCTTTAAAACCAGAAAGGAAAAGTAACAGGAAAGTTAACGCCCAAATCTCTGACTGATACATTAAATGTCAGTTATATCCTAGTACTCTGAAGTCAATCAGTGACAGTAACAAACTCCCAAAATCACTGACTTGGTGTACACAAAGGGAGCAACATCACATAAGTCTGGAAAGGTAAGTTAGGGTGACATCATGGAAGGACCTTGAGTGACAGACAAAATCTTTGACTTTGGTGAGGATATGGTTTCTTTGTTAGGATTGTTTTATAACTAGAGCCATACATTGGGAAGATTAATTTGATTATAGTGTGCAAGATAGTCTAGGAGGGAGAGACTAATGTCAGAGACATCTGATGATAAACTCAGTTTTCCTCTCCCAGAGGCAAAAGCTCAGAATCTTTTACAAAGCAGCTTGGATCCTTAGGAAAGCTATAAATTTTATTAACCAACTTAATTTGACATAAATCAGTATGAGAGGCTGCAAATAAAGAGTTTTCTTCTGTCTCCTCCAAATAGAATGTTGATTTTGCCTCTCTGGCGTTCATTCCCCCTTTTCTGGTAACGGCATCTTGATTTGCCCTTGAGAAAACATACCTTTACTACTCATAGTCCACAGGTTCAAATGGGGGAGAATAGCCTACATGAAGGATATGTGACCCAAGCTAGGCTGATGTGGTCCTATTGTCGAAATTTACAGATGTTTTCTGCTGTCATTACTGATTATGGTAATGAGGTAAGTCTGGAATTTCATGGGAGAGTGCCTTGCTGCCTGGCAGAAAAAAGCTATCAAAAAAGCCAAACAGAAGGAAAAAAAAAAAAAAAAAAAAAGACGTGATTGCTTTTGCATCTCTGGCTCTAGTGTAGCTTTTTTTTTTTTTTAAGATGGGGTTTCACCATGTTGATCAGGCTGGTCTTGAGCTCCCGACCTCAGGTGATCCACCCACCTTGGCCTCCAAAGTGGTTGGATTACAGGCGTGAGCCACTGCGCCTGGCCCTTTTTTTAAAAAAGATATTTAAACCAATACTTTTCCCTTTTTCTGGTAGGCTAGTTTGAGTTGGATTTCTGCCATCACAACCCAAAAAGTCCTATCTGATAGAAGGTTCCATTTATGATAGCTTAGTGTAAAATGTGTTCCATTTATGATAGCAAGTGTAAAATGTGAATCATGCATCTTGTCTAAGTAGCTTACAGCATAGTTGGCTTAAGTGAAAATGATATGCTTATACATTTTATTAATGTATTTAAAAGTAATTTCACTCATCACAATTCATCTATTTGCTTTTAGTATAAATTAATTTGTAGTTAGTAAATTGATTGTGCATGTAAATCACTTTTAGCTAAAGGTGAAAATGTGTAGACATTTAGCCTAAATGAAATAGCTGAAGGTCCAGGTGACCTATTTTTAAACATGTCTTTTGGTTTGCAAAATCAAACTTTATTTCTGAGACAGTCTGATAACTATGCCAAAAGTTATCAGAACACTCTTAGTAAACTTTTTTATTATAACATGTAAAGTGCACATGGAGTTTACAGCATAATGGATTCACACAGTACACCTGGTTTAAAAAGACGTTACCTGTGTCATAGAAGCTCCCCTTAAACATCTCCCCATCCTACTCCTCCTGACTTTTAGCACCATAATTTTGCTTGTTTTCTAGATTCTTTGCTAATCCATTCTTTGCTACCATCCATTGATGGACATTGGGTTATTTCTTTTTGGGGTTATGAATAGTAATGTCTTCTAGGTAATAATGTATGTTCTAGATACATTCTTGCGCTTACCTTCCAGTACATTCATGTATGTTTTGGTGGGGTAAATCCTAGGAATGGAGTTGCTGATTCATAGTCTGTCCACATGTTCAGCTTTAATAGTTAACTACCAATCAGTTTTCCAAAATACTGGAACTAAAATACGCTCCTTTCATCAACGTATGAGAGTTCAATTGCCCCACATCTTACGCTTGGTATTTGTCTTTTGGCTTTTTGTCTTTTAGCTACTCTGGTAGGTGTTGTATCTCATGGTTGTATTTTGTGGTTCTCTGTTGGCTGTCTTTAACATTTGAGTATCTTGGCGGGGTGGGGAGGGAATTGTTTTTGAGACAAGGTCTTCCTCTGTCACCCAGGCTAGAGTGCAATGATGCAATCATGGCTCATTGCAGCCTTGACCTCCCAGGTTGAAGCCATCCTCCCACCTCAGCCTCTCAAGTAGCTGGGACTACAGCTGCATGCCATGACACCTGGATAATTGTTTTGCAATTTTTGTAGAGACAGGGTTTTGCTATGTTGTCTCGGTTGGTCTCAAACTTCTAGGCTCAAGTGATTCACCTGCCTTGGATTTTCAAAGTGCTAGTATTACAGGCATGAACTGTGTGACACAGTGTGTTTATCTTGTTTTCAATGGTCTGATTCTTTAGTCTCTCTGTTCCCTCCTTTTTTGTTTGTTTGTTTTTGTTTTTGTTTTGTTTGACGAAGGGGAACTATCTGCCTCTTAATCTGGTACAAGTTTTGTTTGTTTGTTTTGAGAGTTTCGCTCTTGTTGCCCAGGCTGGAGTGCAATGGCACAATCTCAACTCACCGCAACCCCTCCCTCCCAGGTTCAAGGGATTCTCCTGCCTCAGCCTCCCGAGTAGCTGGGATTCCAGGCGTGCGGCACCACGCCTGGCTGATTTCTTATTTTTAATAGAGACGAGGTTTCTCTGTGTTGGTCAGGCTAGTTTCAAACTCCCAATCTCAGGTGATCCACGTGCCTTGGCTTCCCAAAGTGCTGGGATTACAGGCATGAGCCACCTCACCTGGCCCCAGACAGGTTCTTCATATGTTCTAGATATGAGTTGTTTGTCTTTGTAAGGAACTTCTCCCTCCCCTCTGTGGCTTTACCTTTTCACTCTCTTAATGATATTTTTGATGAGCAGATACCTCTAATTTTACAAAGTTAATTAAAATTAATAAAATTTAAAATACAGTTCCTCAGTTGAATTAGACATTCACATGCTCAACATGTGACTAGCGGCTGCCACATAGGACAGTGCAGGTTTACAGAACATTTCTATTGCAGAAAGTTATATGGACAACACTCTTCTAGAAGCGTTACTGTCTACATTTCCCATTTAGCTCTGCAGTGCACTTGGAATTAATTTTTGTTTGTGGTGTAAGATAGGGATTAAGATTTAATTTTTTTCCATATGGATATCAGACTCAGCAGTGAATGAAATTTTTTTCAGATTAAAACCGCAGTGAATACCATTACACATCCACAAGGATGGCAAAATTTTAAGAGTCTTATAATATGAAGTGTTGAGGATGTGGAGCAACAGTAATTTTTTTTTTTTTTTTTTTTTTTTTTTTTTTTCTCAAGACAGTCTTGTTCTGTCACCCAGGCTGGAGTGCAGTGATGTGATCTCAGCTTACTGCAACTTTTGCCTCCTGGGCTCAAGCAATTCTCCTGCCTCAGCCTTCCAAGTAGCTGGGATTACAGAAGTGCACAACCATTCCTAGCCAATTTTTGTATTTTTAGTATAAGTGGGGTTTTGCCACATTAGGCTGATTTCGAACTCCTGGCCTCATATGATCTGCGTGCCTCGGCCTCTCAAAGTACTGGGATTACAGGCGTGAGCCACTGCACCCAGCAGCAACAATAATTTGTGCGTGCTACTGGTAATAGGTGAACTGGTACAACCTTTTTGGGAAAAGTTTGGCTTTAGCTAGTAACTGACACTGCATGTTCCCTGTAACTCATGTTCCACAGATGCACCAGTAATATCTATAATACATTTTTCATAAATGACAACCTAAATGTCCATTAGTAGTAAAGAATATGTAGCCGGGCATGGTGGCTCACACCTATAATCCTAG